CGTTGCCGACTTTCAAAAAACCTTAATACGGCATTTTTTAAGAACACTATGCTTTAGTTATTAGGAAAAGTCTCATTAGGAAGATCGTTCCACAACCTAAGTGTTTGCGGGGAGGGAGCTTCTCTGAAATTTTACTGTGCCTGCTCATTCTGGTTTTAAGGTGTGAGGATGGATTCCCTGCCGATGGCGACCGGTACTATGGTGAAAGGTGTTAAGTTAACAGTACTATTACAGCAGTACCTAATGTAAAAATAACACGTAATAATGGGTATATCAACAAATTAACTTTTTGTCCATTACTTTGTACGCAAGAATTTGAGAAGTACGCAGGATAAAATATACATCTACTTGTACTGTGAAAAATCACGTCCAGTTTAGTGTAATAGTTTCTGCGTGATGCTGGAATAAACATACAGACAGACAGAGATAATTTTTTTCCTCTCTCTCTCTCTTTCTCTCATATCAATTTTTCTTGAATTTCTCCTGCGTACAGACATTGGCTTTTTACAATTTTATTATATTAAGTAGAACCTACATATATATTTGAATTTATTGTTGACACTACAACGTGGATTACACTACGTTATAAACTATAAAACTCTGTCTTCAAAGGATGTTAATGATTGCGCTATGTATGTATATAGTCATTTATGTGACTATCTTATTGCGTAATTCATCATCATCACCATTATTATCATCATTATATCAGCTGTTAACTGTCCACTGTTAAACATAGACATCCCCTGATTAGGGCTGTTTTGCCAGTTGTTGCCACGCTTGGCCTGCCTATTTACAAGTAGATAATTTTAGCCACCTGGGATTACGATGAGCTAAAATAATAACAAATTTATTTCTGTTCTTATTCAGTTATAAGGAGCTTAGGACTGATTTAAAATACAATATTTTTATAGACACCTATTTTTAAACATTTGTGTTCCAATAATAAAACTATTGAATTACGGTGTGTAGGCAGGTATTTTGGATAAATAACAGCATAGATTTAGATGAAAATTGTTGTTGTAATAGATTATTATATGTATCAATATTTTATGTACTTGTATACTGCAAAATGAAAGGAATTATATATTTTTTTTTTATCTTTTTTATTTAGAGGCTTTTATCCTATAAGGATATGTCAGGCTCATCATACCCTAATTTTATAAAATACCTCACACACTTAAAATATTGATACATAAATAAATCATACATAATATCTTAGTAGTCTATTTTGATAAAGGGAATTATTGATACAAAAATATAGTAATAAAAGATTTTGCCATTCCGGAATGTGGTTCTGCGAGTAAAAAGGAATTATATAATAATCCATTCACGTGACGCCGGCATAGCAGTATTTTGGAATTAGTAAAAATAATTTCCTCTTATTTCTTGTGCGGTGGACGTTTTTATGCTGTCATTTTGATTCTGCAAATATTCTCATACTTGATTCTATCACATAGAGAAATTCCCAGACTTCTCCATAATCCGGAATTTATAGTTTCTATATATTACTAACTATCTGTATTTCGCAGCTTCGCTCGCGTAAATCAGTACATAAATATCCTATGTATTCTTATACCAAATATCAGTCAATTTCATTCAGTAGTTTTTGAATGAAAGAGTAATAAATATCCGTCTAACTTCATTTTCGCATTAATATTTTTTTTTATACAACTTAAAATGGCAAACAAGCTGACAGCCCATCTCATGAAAAGTGGTAACCGTCGCCTATAGACACGAGCAGTACCATGGACATAACAGAGTATATTGTTTCGCCCATGATACTCGTACCTCCCATGCTTTGCCATATCTGAGGACTCAGGTATTATTCCTCTGTACCCTGTAAATTCACGCCATATCCAAACTATCGCTTCAAACCGAAACACAGCCATGCAAACACAACTGCTTTATGGTTGAAACACGAATGGGACAGAGGTACCTAATCTAACGGCTTTTGTATAAAGTTTCCTTTTGGTAATATTAGTAAGATGTTATTATATTTTATACATTGCAATTATATATCGATGTAGATATCTCAATCTAATCAATTCTATGTTAAGAGACAAACAAACCTCAACCCACAGACCGATGACCCGACTTATGACTTTTAAGATGCAACAGTTACTAATAAACGTTATCTGTTTATCCAATAAAAAGTCTGAATATATGACTAGTACCACCTAGACCAAGAATGTATGAATAGTAAGAAAGAGAAGTGGCCTTGTGGTCCCGGCATAGAATAGGCCACCCTTTCCTTTTCCATAGGTGACCTAGAAGGCGACTAAGGGAGGGCAAGGGATGGGCAGCACAATAAAATTCTAAAATATAAGTTTATGACCATATTAATTAATTGCAATTAAGTGAAAATTATGAATCAGTTAAATACATATTATTGTAATAAACTATATTTTTATTATACATACAGGGATGAATTATTTTAGGTGTAATATTTATTTTTAAATTAGTATTTATTAATATATATTTTTGTAACTTTTCCCGAGATAGGATTGGGATTGTTTTATAAATAATATTTTGTGGTTTAACTAGATAGTAAGTAGGTACTATTTATTATATATTTACATTCTATATCATTATTATATTAAAATACATTTTTTTATCTGTCACAGTGTTTAGTACATTGATAATATAATATAAATTTAATCAATTTATTGGATTAAGTTTAGTCAAGTTGCCGTCGGCAAGACATTTGCTATAAGTTACAAAATCTGAATCAAGTATGAATTCGATGTTTGAAAAAAAATATATGTATATAAAATAATATCAGTACAGATCTATGTATACATTTAACTGTGCATAATAATTATACACATATTTCGTTTATGTTTCTATATGTGTCGTTTACAAGGTTTTTTTATGAAAATTCACTGGATTGTAATAGATGAACCGTGTTTTAAATTGAAATATCTTTTTTCGATTACTGCGAAAAAATTTATAGAGTTCAGTTAGCAATAGAAGTACAAAAATACAATTTCAAATTTAGCTAGAATTGTTTTTTAGTACATAACTATGCGGATTTTAAAAAGAGAAAAATTATTTCACTTGTATTTTTTTATAAGTATGTAATTTTTTTGTGTTATAAATGGCTTAATATGAGAGATTTATGTGTGGTGTATGACTAAACTGATTATTAATTTGTCATGGACAGCATTATTCCAGTTTTCAGTTATAATAATATGCGTTAATATTTTTATTTAAAATTATATGGTCTTTTACACTATACTGATATTGATTTAAAATTAATTACTAAGACGGCTGAAAAGATTGCATAATGCAATATTTGTATGAATATGTATCTATTATGTATGTATGATAATGTATGTACCCATTAGGAGGCCTAGCATATATATATATGATAATAACGGAGGAAACCCAGATGTAAAAAAATGTGAATAATTATTATATATGTAGGTACCTATATTAAAAACTTGCGATCCACCCCGACGTCGTACGTGTAGGTAGGTAGATCCAATTAAAACAAAGCTAATGTCAATGGTAATAATAAATAAATTTTTAATCAATTAAACTTAATAAATCAAGTAAAAAGCATTTTTTGGATAGTAAATTTTTAATTAAAAAAAATTAATTAAAAATTACTGCCCAGTTCTGTGCAATTTTAAATGCAATTTTAACTTAGAAGAACTAATTATGTTAATCCTAGACGAATTTATTATGACGGGCTAACGAATCTGTTTCATTTTCACCTATCACTTTTGACTAGTGTCCTGCTTGCGTATACCGATAGCACAGGTTACCATATAATTTTTTTTATACAACTTAGAATTGCAAACAAGCTGACGGTCCACCTGATGGAAAGTGGTAACCGTCGCCTATAGACATGAGCAGTACCATTGACATAACAGAGTATACTGTTTCGCCCATGATACCCCCCATGCGTTGCCATTTATGAGGTGATGACTCAGGTGTTATTCCTCTGTACCCTGTAAATTTGTACCTATTAAAAAAAGTAAACAGCTGAACTCGTCATGTTAGTATGCGAGGGTCAAAATTAATGTTTAAACTTTCTTTTTTAATTTTTCTACTGCCCAGTTCGCAATACAATATTAGCTGAGAGGAACAGACAAGTAACAGAAAATAAAAGAACTATAAAGCTACAATAATGAATACTCGCTGATAACGTAGACTTAATCTTGAGTTTATCTTTACAAATCTTAAAAAAGGTAAAGTTTGTGAGTTTTGATGTTTGCGGTAATCTCCGGTACTATTCATCTGATTTTAAAAATTCTTTCATTATTAGAAAGGTGCATTATCCCTGAATGTTATTATAAACTACTTTTTGTTTTGGTAAATATATATTTTCATCAATTAATCACAATAAATGTAGTTAAAGTCAGCAAAAATTCTATAACATGGCGTGCGCTGCCTGAACGGTTTGAAATAAAGGCATAAAATTTAAAAGTAAAAATATTCATTATTTTTAGCTTTGCAAAAAAGTTTGCGTCAAAAAATGATTTTTTTTTTGTGTTAAAAGTAAAACAAAATTTGCAAAACGTTCATTTTAAATTCTTAGAGAATATTAGTCTAATATTTTTACACTCGGCAAAATACAAGCCTTAGCAAAAAGTTGTGAATAGTTTAAAAGTTACACAAACAAATATTGCACCCGTGCGAAGCCAGGTCGGGTCGCTAGTTCATTATAAACAAAAGAAGCATTTAATCTTTATAATATTAGTTTAAATAAAAAAAAAATCTTTGATGAAATTTTACAATTATATTTTACGAGTAATTATGACGAAATAAATAAGAAAAAAAAGAATCATCACAATGTCGCAAAACATAGAAATCAAAACATATATATTGATATCATATATTTTAATGCTTGTTATAAACATAGTATGTATGTAGTTGTGTTGGTATTCTTTTAAATAAATATACATAAAAAAATTGTTTAATTCACAATTTCTTGCTTTAGAAATTACTAGATAATATAAACTTGTCAATTGACACTCCCCTTGTGTTTTCAGCAACAGAGTGAGAGGTATCTATCGTCGGCATACGAGGGAGGCGGGGAATTGTCTCCAGTGGCCCCGGCGGCGTCCCCCGGGTCTCCCCGCGACTGCACCTCGTGTCGCAAGAGGGAGCCTCCGGACGACCCCCCTCAGGCCCCGGCCGAAGACGCGTGCGCCGGCTGCGGGGCCCGTATCACCGACCGTTACTATTTATTAGCGTTAGAGAGACGCTGGCACACCCCCTGCCTGAGGTGCTGTGAGTGTAAAATGCCACTGGATTCGGAACAGAGGTGCTATGCCCGGGACAGCAATATATTATGCAAGAATGATTATTTCAGGTGAGTCTTTACTTCTCATTATACATATCTGACGTTAAACAGGTTGTAGAATATGAAGCGGAAAGGAACACTTTTCACGGTCCGATACGTGTATCGTATATAGATGCACACTTTCGTGTTATATATAAAATAATCTAATACATTGATACTATTTTAAAATATATCTAACGATTATTATTTATATGACTTTCTAACTCTACCAGAGGGAGACTTTGTACAAAAGTCGATTGCTTGGGTACCTCTGTCCCATTCGTGTTTCAACCGTGAAGCAGTTGTGTTTGCATGGCTGTGTTTCGATTTTAAGAGTGGGATATGGCGTGAATTTACTGGGTACAGAGGAATAACACCTGAGTCCTCGGGAATGGCAACGCATGGGTATCATGGGCGAAACAGTATATTATGTTATGTCTATGGCACTGCTCATGTCTATAGGTGACGGTTACCATTCTCCATCAGGTGGGCCGTCAGCTTGTTTACCATTCTAAGTTGTATAAAAAAAAAAAGACTTTCTATGTCTTCAACATAATATGCCAAACATTGTCACAAACCTAAAATTATTGTGACGCTATTTGGCGTTTCTATAGTTCTCTCTATGATATACTACGATTTTACCGTGACAATATAATAGAAGAGCAAAACGTATGCATTCGTATGCAATTGCAATACGAGATGCGTTTGCAATTTTCCGCCACGATAAAATCGTTATGCACGATATATCGTGCACGGTAAAGTATAAAAGCGTACACATTCTGTGCAACAAAACAAATTGTAATATTGCGCTTATTAAATTATAATTAAGTAATTGTTACCCATCAAAGCTGCATGCTATAAACATAATTCATGTATTAATGTACTATCAAGATTGTAATCTTTAATGTGTTTCTATTCATACATATAGATAAATATATATTTGAATTAATAATTACGTGCGATATAAAAAATTGAACAAGTCAGTAAATAGAAGGCCGGCAGCACACCTGCAATGCCGCTGCTGTTGTGCGTGACCATGGGCGGCGGTAGTCACTTACCATCAGGTGAGCCGCATGATAGTTTGCCCTGTGTTGTAAAAAAAAAAATATTTTGCTTCTAAATAAAGTTTAATAATCAAATATAGAACGATATAAAACTTTGTGGTCATTTGTGGTCAACACAAATAATTTGACTAAACCCATAGACCGTAGACAATGAAACAACAAGCAGAATTTTGCTCTGCTAAGAAACATGGACTGTTCATTCGTCACATAATAAATTTTTTTTTTCTATACAACTGAGAATGGCAAACAAGCTGACGGCCCACCTGATGGAAAGTGGTAACCGTCGCCTATAGACATGAGCAGTACCGTGGACATAACAGAGTATACTGTTTCGCCCATGATACCCCCCATGCGTTGCCATTCCTGGGGATTCGGGTGTTATTCCTCCATACCCAGTAAATTCACTCCATATCCCACCCTTCAAACCGATACACAGCCATGCAAACACAACTGCTTCACGGTTGAAACAAGAATGGGGCAGAGGTACCCAAGCAATCGACTTTTATACAAAATCTCCCTGTGGTATGGAATTGACATGGCAGTAAATGCTATAAGAATGTTTGTCAAAATCGTAGAACCTCTTCTTTTTACGAGTCGCTTAAAAATACGTAATAATAGAGTGTGGTGTTCATAAGAACAGCGTTTATAAAACGATTGTCCATAATCGTTTTACTCGCGCCAAACACTAGCGTCATTAAAATATCGATATTAAAATAGTAACGTTCACCGCACCAATAACAAGAATCCACAATTTTTACAGCATAATTACAGATATAACTGGCGGGCTTGTACCTTCACGTCGTGTTTTAATTACTTTTGCACCTTTTTTATTATCTGTTGTCCCTGTGTGTTTTACGGCTCTTTTACGATTTTATCAAATGTCCTATGTATTCTAAATTGTAGATATTAACGTGTTAATGTTAGGTAATGCATCGTATCTATGTAAGAATGTGTAATTCATGATGTATGGTTGACGTCATTAATTTTAATTATTCGAATGAGTTTAACATAGAGGGCACCACTTGTTGCTATATCTATACGATGATTTATTATTGTATCTATATGAACAAAATAAGTCTTTTGGATAATGAAAATTTATGCACTTATTTTTTTTTATGAAACTGGCACAGACGTTCTATTTAAGATGAACTTAGGCTACTTTTCATCTTGGCTAACTCGCATATTTCGGTCATGCCATTTTACGGGTAAAAATCAGTAAATATAATAATATTTATAATTTGTTTTTAATATAGTTAAGTATATAAAAATTATTATATTTTCGTTAATTCACAAATAATACTTATACTGACATATTTATTTTTACAATAAAATAATTAATTTTAATCAATAAGCGGTTAAAAACAATGGAAGGTCCTTCATAAAATATGAATGGAATTTGAGACATTTTTTTTGCACACGTTGTCTCAACGTTTGGAATTATTTCGATGATTGATCGCGCGCTGTATTGATCCCACATAATCAATTTATGGAGATTATAATCTACATACCATGCATTGGCTAAATGAGTTATGATGTGATGACGGGTTCGCTTGTAGGACCTCACGTGACAATCTAAGGGAAGCGGTTTGGTCAAAACAAATGATTAATATTTCTCTGAATGCCAGTGAGATTTTGCAGCCGTGGCCTCATGCTTTGTTGTTTGGGTGATCTCGATTTTTTTTATTTTAACTAGCTTTTTGATCCTACTACGTACGTGTGAATTTCAGAATTTGGAAAACTCACTAGTTTTCCAATAATATAGAAATAAAACATAAAGAAGAAAACCGAAAGGAGACAGTATAGGTATAGGGTTTATAAAGGAATGTTGCAAAAATAATATGACATATATGTATGTATATATGTATATATATATATATATATATATATATATATATATATATATATATATATATATATATATATATATATATATATATATATATATAGATACGTCAATAATTCAGCGTAAGTAACTGATGAAAAAACGAGTCAGCTAATTTGATAATTAGCTAACAAAAAGTTGACTCGTTTTTGAGGCTCGATACTCTATCTATACATACGTAGACACATACATAAATATGAACAAATATATATGAAAACAGAATAACTATTATACATATAAGTAACGGAACTGTCAATAAATAATAATAAATGCTCTTATTAAGATCTCTTATATATATATATATATATATATATATATATATATAGTGTCACTAGTATTTCTATAATAATGTAATAGTAATACAATTATCAAGTACCTCAACAAAAAAACACGTGTTTTTCAACTTTGAGTTCATTATTATTGGATGCGGTTTTCACTGTTATTTTAAATGAACGTTTATTATGATATTTTAAACTAGTTATTTGCATGGAGAATTTTTTATTTCATTCAATGTTTTTTTTTTATTTAGGAATGTCTGCCATTTTGTGAGGCCTTTTCCAGTTATGAAATAATATTTCTATGTGTATACGAAGTTTAAGTTTTGTATGTGTGTTTAGTGAAGGTAGCGTTACTGATACGGAATGGCGAACACGTGTCGCGGTGATCAAGCAGGTGCAGAAGGCTGGCTGTGTTTGTATGACACTACCTCAGTCCCCTGTTTATCAGCGGGAGCTCGTATTTATGTCTATTTTTATTAAAACGTATTAAATTTAATAACGAGACTAGACGATATCTGTATTTTTACGCTAAACAAAATTTTTAGGAAGTGGGGCAGGAATGACGATTCTTCGCTTGATTTACATTCACTTAAATACGGGACTTCACTAAAATACTGCGCTATCGGTATACGTTGGCGAGGTAACAGTGAAGGATGACAGGTGAGAACAAAGGTGGTATAAGTTGGCCCATAGTGACCAATTCAACAAGAATTAACCACGATGGTTTCCAGGAGGAAGTATGAGGAAGTTGACTTTATAGTTTATTATTAGTAATATGGCAGTTACATCCCATTACTGACTATCTTTTTCCCTCCTGGATGAAAAGGACTGGTCACATATTTGTGATCACATTATGCCAACACTCTTTTGAAAAGGAGATGGAAGAAATTGTTAGTGACAAAGTCTAGTGACTTCATTGCCAGCAGTAAATTTTGTTAGATTGAACTCCACGTGGTCATGTTTGGATATTAAGGCGGTTAATTTTTGAAAAATTAACCACTGGGCTGATGGAACTGGCTTCATCCTTCCTCATCATCCACCACTGGCAATAACAATACCGTAAGCATAGTTATCAGTCTCTTAAAATCTGATAAAAATTAGCATTTTTTTTTTATTTCCAAGATATTGTAAGAAGCTTTACACTACAGCGGTAAGAGACAGCTTCATTTCACTTAGCATGGTATGGGGGAAAAGGGATTGTTCCAATAGCTCCATTGTTAACAATAGACGGTCTTTGTGGGGGAAGAGATTGTTAGCAATTCGGACTACCCGTCACATTGCTAGCAAACACCCAATTATGTCGACCTCCATGTAGTTTTCGCTAAAAAATATCGTGGTACATTCTTATTGTATTCGTTACTGTGGGTTAACTGGCCTGCTTTCATCTTTATCAATCATTCCTCACTGATAGGGCAGGAGGGGATACCATTTTATTTTCACCTATTAAAAAATATCTACTATATACATGCATTCCGCAGCTTTGCCTGCATAATAATTAGTATATAAAGTATCTTATGTTAGGACATATGAGTAAGTTATCTGTATACAAAATTTCGTTCGAATCCGTTCAGTCGTTTTCGCATGAATGAGCAACAAACATCCGTTCGTACAATTACAAATTTTTGCATTTATAATAGCAACAGTATTTTGCCAATAAACCTTTCCTTCGTCAGCTTTAGGTAATATTTTAATTAATGTAAACTAATCTGCGAAATTGTGTACATGACTCAAATGGTTAGAACTATGTAGTGTAAACAAGAAGTAAAATGTTGACTTTTAGCATCGGCATAGTCGCAATAACAGGCT